CGGTGCCTCAGTTCATGGTCTTGCACTCTGGAAGCAATATGTCGGTTGAGGACAAACTCCATGTGCCGTGTGCCTCCGTTTGGTTGCTGAAAGCGGGAGGATGCAAAGTTGTCATGGGCATCGACTCCTTCTCTGAAGTTACTATGGTGGATCGAAATGTGGTGTCAACTCTCTCTAGTCATGGCGCATCCCTAGAAACTAGAGAAGTGAGGAAGAGGACATGTCGAGCGGCGTGTGGCAACCTATTCACCAACTCGCAAGAGGCCAACCTCCCCGTGGTATTTCAAACTAATCATGGACCTAAGCTCGCGATGATCTGGTGTTATGTTGTAACTAACTTCACGTATCCCCACATCCTTCTGGGTGCATCTACACTGTCTCGTATGAAAACGTCCATCGACCTGGACGACTACGTGATGAGCATCAAGTGTATGGGAGGAGTGAAAGTCCAGCTGTCATCATCACCCCCGACAGTACCGCCAGTTGCTGCTGCACCGAGCTCTGATCTCGAGGAAAACCTTGTGAATCTATCGGATGAGGAGCTCTACCAATGGCATGTACAAAGGTGTCAAGATCTACCAACGGCCAAGCTATCTTTCTCCATCAAAGAGAGTGCTCCATCTGTGACGAGGAAGTACCCGATCCCTGCCCGGCTGAAGGAGTCAGTGCAGAAGGAGCTTGGTAAATTATCTGCCCAAGGAGTCATCCGCATTGTCCAGGACTCCTGGACAACCTCACACCGGTATCGACCGGACTCCTGGACCAGGAGTCCGAGGTTGGTCCCAACGCGATTGTGTCACCAGGCTTTGCCAAAGATAAGGGGCGCACTGATGATGATGGTAGTCCCGTTGTACGGCTTCTCTGTGACTTTACCGCACTTAACGCTGTCATTGGGAATGAGCTCACCGATCACTGGACCCGGTCGACTGACGTCGCCAGTCTGACGACCTGCGGGACAACATCCATACTATCCCGTCAGGGTCTCAATGGTTCTTCAAGGTTGACATCAGCAATGCCAGGCATTGAATGCCTCTTACACGGTCCCGTTGGCTGACGAGGTGGTTGCCCTAACTACGTGCCGATTGGGGGATACCTATATCCAGTGGCTGTGTCTACCACAAGGTCTTAACTTATCTGCATTGTATTTCCCGTTCTTCCTCAAGGTGCAGCTCGACCATTTGTATCCCATAAAGGGATACTGGAGAAAGTGGTTCACCATCTATCTAGACGATGCAGTCGGGCACGGCAGGACCAAGGCACAAGCAGAAGGCCGCCGACGAATCCTGTTGTGCGCCCTCCGCGCCCTAAAGAAGCCCATATCGGACAAAGATCCAACAACAGTTTGCCAGTCATTGGACTGTCTTGGTCTCACGTTATCGTCCAGAGGTTGGTCCCTATCCGAAGATAATACCAAGAAGCTCAAGAGTGCGTTGGCAACCAGACCGAGGTCTCTTCTGGCGGTGATATAGTCAACCCATCCGCAGGTATTGATCTCATCATAAGATTTTTATGAAGAACAAAATAGCCTCAGACAAAGTGTGCAAACTTTCGGTTATGGAATACTGAAATTCAGTGTAATGGAGTTTCAACGATCTTCGTCTCCATTGTCGACAGCGCCCTCCTTCTCGAGAAGTCGGCGGGTGCTCCATCTCAAGACCGCATCCCTGAAAAACTTCTCCGTCTCGGGCGGTTGGCGATAGGCATGACATGGGCTTGTATCGTACTACATTTGAATCAAATGATGGGATCACAAGAGCTCATCCCAAACACCAACT